TTCAATAAGACCCAACCTTTTTGAGTCGATTGATTATATACAGGCGGCGTGGCGAAGGTACTTGCGGACATCCCAGTCGAAATGTTTCAGAATCGTTGTATAGCTTCCCAAAAGGATTACTTTGAAGGGGATGGCAAAATGGTAGATTAATTTTGAAATATACGGTTTTTATGGAATCAGTCTCATTACTTAACTGTCACACCTCGTAGTTGGTGCACAATAGTTGAAACAATTATTCTCCTAGCAAAAGTATAAAAAAGTCTGCACAGACCTTAGTCATATATCTACGTTAACCTTCCCCAAGAATCTCTCTATATATTGGTTTAAACCGCATGAAATTTGGGTCAGTAGTTTTTGAGGTTATCGCAAACAAACAGACAGACGAACAGATAGACGCGGAAGGAGGTTTTGTTTTTATAATGGGAAGTGGTATATACCTACCAATAACGGTTCACTTCCATTTACATTTTTTCCGCATTTGTTTCAAATCATCCCACTGTGCAGCAGCCATTTATTTCTTTACGAAGTCTCTTCAATCAATGGGCACCTGGTAATACTGTGACCAAGGCAAATTTCTAAGCCTCAATGGTCTTTTTTTTCACTGTTGGTGCAGCTGTTGTTATCCATGTTGTTGTTGTTGTTGCTGCAGTAGCAGTATTTTAAACCGTTTACAGTTGAGTGCCAATGTGCGAGGACAAAGTTGAAAACAAACAGCCAGACGTGCCAGCAATGAAGAAGGGCTCTACAGGCAGATATCGCGATATACACGCACAAACCCACGAAAGCTCCCGGCGCTCACGTAAACGTCTGAAGCGCTCACAGACAGTAAAAAAAAACGAAAGATAAAAATATTTGGTAAGCAAGCGAACGCTGACGGTGCAAAGTAGAACAATTGAAAGCAAAAACCAGTGCCAAACAGTAAACTAGAACTCCACGACCACCCACAGCGACTGGACACAGAGCTCATACAGATGTGCGTACATGCAAAACCTGCGGCGTGCGGAAGGTGACGTTTGGAGTACAAATAGTTGAAACGTTTTTTTAAATGTTGTTGTGTCCTTTTTTTTAGCGGTTTGACTTGCTCGAGTTCTCCGCGCCGCGCCGGTGCTGTGGCTGACGCGCTGCTTGCCGCGCTGCTTGCCGCGCTGTATTTATTTTCCAGAATCAGCAAGCGCGCCGTGTGGGCGGATGAGAGTAAGAGTGAGTGTTGTTTTGCAACGGCGAGTGTATGTGTGTGTGTGGTTTTGCAACGGTGAGTATATATATATATATATATATATATATATATATGTGTGTGTGTGTGTGTGTGTTTGTGTGCATCTGTGGGGGGTTCGCTGTGCGTGTAACCACCTAGAAGAAAATCCATAAAATATAAAATGCAAATTTATTTATGTGCCTCCGATGCCAAAGCGACATGAGGGCATAAACTCATGGAAGGATTGGCGCTGATAGCAACAACAACGTTTGAGAAGCAACATCCCACTGAAGGGTCGAAGGAGCGACCAGCAGACCAGCATCAACTTTTCAAATAGACCAACAAGCATCAAACATGGGTCCCACCCATACACATACACACACAAACACGCACACAGTCACATACATACCCACGCGCGCACAAAAACAAGAAATGCCAAAGCACGCTCATGGCTGGCTTCCAACGCCCACTCGTTATCAGCGGAAATTGGCAAGTCTGTGAGTTCTATGGCTCGGCTCTACCATGTTGTGCTGTGTTGTGCTCTCAAGCGCTGTAAATAATGACCGAACAAATGCGTTTTGAAAGCGCCTCTGAAAGCAGGGCATCATTGAGCAGAGTTCACAAATGGCAGATGTAGAGGGTGTGTAAATGAATGGAGAGGAAAGTGTGGACTCCGCAAATAACCAAAATAACAAGCAATAAAATAGTAAAGGATTTTGATATTGGAAATAATTGGGTGATAATTAGAAAGCAAGCACAGCGAGCGATTCCTATGCGCCACCACTCACAGTGGCAAGTGTGTAAGAGGTGGCGCCCTGAAACAGAGAGGTTGCGGGTTGTATGTAATCAATGTGTCCGCACTTGACTGCCTGCGAAGCTAAGTTTTGCGGTTGCGAGCAGATATTTTACGATTTCACAAATTTCACAAATTTCGTTGTTGTTTTAGTAGTTGTTTGTTTGTTGCTTGTTGTTGCTCTCGAATGAATTCTAAGAGCGTAATTTCTCAAGCGGAACGTGCGTTGAATTTGAATATAATTTTTGCTTGTGAAATATTGTTGCTGTTCCATTAAAATTGAGCGCTTAATTTATTATTATTCGCTGGGAACTTTTATGCGGCTGTGAATTTGATACACTTTTGTCTCTACTAAATTTAAATAGATTTTTGTCTTGGAAAATTGAGCTAGTAGTATTAAGGCAGGCTTTGAAGAAGCATTAATTGCGTAGCTAAAATTTAGATTTGATCATTAAATGCTTTTCTTCGAGTTATTTAACATGCCTTACGAGCTTTTCCGAGCATTACGCTTGTCGACCAACTTCTCAAGCTCTTCATACTCACACATTCCGACCTCTTTTTTCTCTCACTGCAAATGCGTCTTGTTTCCTTCTTCAGTTCTCGGCATCTGTCCCGTCCCACAGTTCCCTAACACCGAGTTACCGATGAGTGCTCTCAGTGCAAGCCGAGTAGAAAACAGTTCGGCTGTCTGTTGTGATCTTAGCTTTTCTACGTATTTGCTGCTACAAGATTCGTTAAAATCGCCAAACACAATTTTCACATCGTGTCGGGAGCAGCGCACGTACTCATCCGTAGTCGATGCGTTGAACGGGAGTGTATCCCAATACTCGACGACTGAGTCTTTTTTCCCCATAAGGAATACAACACTAAATAAACGTTCCCTTATTTTGTCGCCGTAGTAAATGCCACAAGGGCCAACTCATTTGCGTCCTTGTCCCGTTCATCGCGCTTCGAGGGCTTTGATGTCAGTCTTTTGTTTTACGAGAATATGGGCACCGGCATTTTCCCAATTTTCCAAACGGTTAACGGTTTATTGGCTTATTATCATTGCTCTTGACTCTATGCTTGGGAATATTTAAAAAAAAAAAAATATTTAAAGGTGGCAACGCTGCTGAAAAATATTTTCTCATAAAGGCTCTCTTTAATCTCTTGGATTTAACACACATATAAAATGTTGTAAAATTACTCTTCACTTCATCACTTTTTTTCTTTTTCAAAATTAGAGTTCATTTTCGAACCCACAAACTTTCATCAAAGTCGGTTCAGCAATTTAGCATGACTTCAGTTACTTAAAGACTTATAGATACATTTTTATATTAAAACAACTTTCAAATAGGTTGCCACTCTGTTAGTTCGGTTGAGTCACATAAGTGGTTTTTGCCTTTGCCTTAGATTAATTGAGGTAGTCGAGTGGCGTACTGTCATTCGGAGGGCTCGGGCTCAAATCCTGGTATCGTACCAACATCCAGCTTGAATAATCTGTAGGTCCTTCGATTTGTTGGAAAAACATCAAGATGCAAAATTACAAATCGGAGGAGGAGCTCGGCCGAAAATCGCTTCAGTGTTAATAAAGCATCATATATATATTGTATATAAATGAACAAGTGGACCAAAGTTGGGCGCTAATCGAAATCGGTCTTTATTTAATCAGATCTAAATTTTATTTCATTTTTTTCGAAGGCCTCTTTTTGTCGTAGATCACTTCAAGACAAATTTCGTTAGCGTCGTTCTAAATCAGTTGTTGCTCCGCAGGCTATTTCTGCTGTGCGAAAACTGATATTGCAAGATCGGCATGCGATCTGTCGCCGCGTAGGATCACACACTATTTGTTGATCGCTCAAAAAAGGGAAAAAAATCAACAAAAAAATACGAGTGAGGTGTGAACTGAAGTAGCGGCTCATGCGTTCAGAACGCAAAAGGATACCTCAATCAGAGTTTCCAAAGTGCTTCGATAGTTGGTTCGAACTCACGCAAAAGTGTATAGATCTTAATGGAGAGTATTTTGTAAACAATAGAGCGATTTTCAGGGATACATATTTGTTATTGTTTTTAATTCAGAAACATTTAGCGCACTTTCTTTCAGGCGAGAGCATCATAGATCGACAGATCAACGAAATTTGGTTTGACATGGATGAAAACTTAGAAAGTAGTGACGCTTGACTTACTTCCAGGCATTCCTAGTTTTATTTCCGTGTAACATTTTGAGTGCTGAAAAGCGACTCACTCGGCTTATTGCACACTTGGAAGGTTCTGGCCGAAAATTTTCATGAAAACTCTGCAGCTGCTTGTGCTACAGTTTTCTTTAACGCTGCTTAAAACTAAACTGAATTGCTTTAAAATCGGTTTCTTATAACATTCAACTATACGAGTATGTGGTTTTGCTTAATTTAACTCAGAATTAATTCACTAATTCATTTAATTGGATTTTTTCGGTTACTGACCTTTCAAGTGCCTTGCATTGGTGATCATTTTCAAGGTAAACCACCCAAGCAATAAGCAATAGAAATTTATTCAAACACATACATGTTACGCTGTGTTTGTGTGCGTGCAATGAACTGATGCAATGCAATGAACTGATATGAACTCGGTCCATTACACTCGCTCCAAGCAACGTCCAGCGACATACACGTAAGTGCTCCTCTAAATCAAGTTCACACTCCAGCGGTATAAGGAAAAAAATTGCTGCTAATTCTAGGCAACAACACAAAACTTTCTGGTAACTACTCATACATGTATGATATGTAAGTGTGTGTGCGAGTGGAGCAAAAGTAAATAAAAGTGTTGATAAAAAAAATCGAAAAATAATAAAAAAGCAATCATCTCGCTGTTGCTGCAACACTTTGCTTTATGAGTTCAATTATCTTCACACACAATCGAAGATTTATCTATGTCTATATGTACATACATACGTGTATGTACGCATAAAATTCTGAGCAACATTTATATATATATATATTCACATATGTATACATATATAAATACATGTTTGTATGTATGTTGGTATATTTTCAGGCTCAGCTAAACAACTGGAAAACACGGAACTCTCCAACGGCATTGTCCAAGACGAACCGGAGATAATCGCCCAGCAGACCGATAAAGTCGATATACTGCTACATTGTATTAAATCATCAACGCGTGATGCCGCTTGGATTTATGGACAAGTGCTGTGCCAAATTATACGTGATTTAGTGCCACCAAATGAAATATTGACGAAGGTCATAAAAGAGTTTCTCGCTATAAATCAACCGCACTGCGATGTTATTGCAATGATTGTGTATCAGGTAAGCTAAAAAAAAACAAAAAAAAAACAAAAANAAAAAAAAAAAAAAAAAAAAAAAAAAAAAAAAAAAAAAAAAAAAAAAAAAACTAAAAAAAAAACTAAAAAAAAACAAACAAAAAAAAAACAAACAAAAAAAACAAAAAGAGCATAAATACCTATATACACGCACACGTACATATGTTCTTCTAGAAATAAATGATTTCTCCTTACATACATATAGATGTGTTTTAGAATAGAAGTGTGTGTGTTTGTACGTATAATATTTATTCCCATTGCATGCTTTGAATATGAAAGTTGTTGTTGGAGTTTGTAACTTAGCATTGTTGCTGATGTCCTGGTTGGTGGTGGTTCCATGTTGAAGTGAGTACAGAGCGGCATTTTATGAAATTCATCAAGTTCCCCTGTATATTGGAGCTATGTACATTTGGAAGAGCGATCGACTCATAGATTTTGATGTAAAATATCAGGTGTACAACTTTGCTTCCGCCGTTTTTTTTTCCAAAATTAAAAGCTTTATTGCGAAAAAGTGCTTACAGATATATTATTCAAAGTATTGTCCTTCGGTAGCGACAACTTTCTCCCATCTTTCCGGCAATTTTCAGATCTCGGCTGGGAAAAAGGAGTCCTCTTTTGACGCTATCCATGAAGCAATCCATTTTATATAATAATAATATTAGGTGTAGTAAAAAGTTCGTTCGGTTTTCATCATCATAGTAGTAGTAGTCAGTCTTACGTGTCGCATCGTGGCATACTATTAGGCGCTGAAAACGTGTTTCTTCTCGCTAAAAGTTTGTCTTTGACAGTTTTTCGATTGACGCATTCAGTACGTGGTGAGCGCTCGTCAAAGATGGACACCAGCAAAGACAAAATTCGCTATATTTTAAAATTTTTCTTCGATCATGACGAAAAAGCAGCCAAAGCGGCTGAAAAAATTAATTTAATTTATGAGCCCGATTGTGTAAACGAACGTGTAGCACAAAAGTGGTTTGCTAGATTCCGTTCCGGTAGTTTCGATTTAGTTATCATACTTTGCCTAATATACATTTCGCTTTGTTACTTTTACTGAAATGTATGATTGTTATGACTGGTTTCAGTACCTTTGATGAGTACGCGTGCTACAACGGGGACCATCCATGTACTTTCACTACTATTTTTCTTCATTTGTTCAATGCCTTAGGAGTCTATATATATTTATAATTGGCGCTTGGTACACGCTGAAGCGATTTTTCGGCCAAGCTCCTCCTCCAATTAGTGGTTTTCGTCTGGATGTTTTTCCAACGAGTGATGGGACCTACAGTTTATACTAAGACGCCCCCGAACGGCTGATGGTTTTTTTTGCGTGGCGCCGACTCTAGCCGAATCAATATTAATGTGCTAATTCTTTTGGTTGTTTTTGACAGGTTGAACATATACCGAGTGAAGTCAGTCTTTCTCCTGCTCAGCTTCCACCGGCGGCTGCGGTATTGAATATTATCAAAGCTAAAGACTTTTCAATGATCCGCACAACGCGACCTTTCTAGTGTAACCACTTTATGACATCGAACACACAGAAGTTCATAAATCTTACGCAAAACCTTGCTCTGGAAAACTCCTCCATGTCTAAGGTCAAACTTATATGGTCCAATCAGTCTTTTCGGTGGGCTTGAGTATTTCACATTGTACTCCAGATAAGACTTTATATGCGATATTACGAAGGCTTTCGTCCGCCCATATTAACTCTCAAGTGGTCGCACAGTCATTTGTGCTGCACGTAATCGAAAAAACCTATGAGAGCTGTTAGAGAAATAAAACACTAATTAACTAATAATCATTAATTTTTTTTTGTTTAGATATATTATCATTGTGTTTAGATTAAAAATGGTAACTTAAATTTAGAAAAAAGGCAACTATAAAATAAAATAACTTAACTCAATAATGTAATTCTGAAAAAAGCATATTTAGCGCGGTTGATTAAACGCCACGCGTACACTTGACGGTTAAGCAAATCATCTGATGGACCTTTTCAGGTGCTCGCAGTCATATTCGAATAGTTCAGGCGGCAATCCATCGACCTCCAACGCTTTTGTTCTTACATTACCATGGCTCGGTCTTGAAACCTTCTGAAAGTCGCTGCTCATGATCTACATACTCACGCAATTCGACCACTTTTTTTTAAGCTTTTAAAGCGCAGCTTTCATTATTGTAAAGGAAAAGTTTTGGATTTACTAGATGGCGCTGCAATCGAAATATTTGAAAAATTTTCAGTTATGGACTTTTCTTTCAGAGATCGAAACATGAAATTTGAGTTCGTCACAAAAATCGGAGGTGGCTTTGAATAAGCTCTAGATCCCTGCATTCGTTGGGAAAACATAAATACGCACACCACAAACTGAAAGAGAAGTTTTTCCGAAAATCGTGTCAGCGGCTTTAAAGCGTCAGTAACATACCTACATATATGTATACATATATATCGGACGTATTTCTATTGGAATTGAACCTTTGAAAAATGTTTTGGACTTCATTTTTATGGTCACCTTCGTTGAGATTTTTGCACAAAAATTCCAAAATTCTGCACCAATCACTGCTCTCACATTGTTCCGCTTATTGACTGCGAAACTTTGTCTCCAAGCTGTGTAAACGTGTGACGACCATAGCGAATGAAAAAAACTTCTCGGAAAATAAATCGGAGCGCGTTGCCTCAGTCATAACGGGTGGACATACGAGTACATAGAGTTGCATGAGCACACATGCGACAAATACCTGCAATACGCAGTGTATATACATATGTGCAATATTAATATACATATGTACATAACATATGTCTGTATGTGCGCTTGCATGATTTTTTCTTTCATTGTTTTTGGCAATTACAAAATTGATGACAACTCCAATATGCAGCTACAAGCCAGCAACCAGGCAGTCACACACACATACGAACAAAAAAAAAAAAAAAATACTTGCCAGCATCGCCCGAGGTTATAGTGTATTTGGGTTAGTATGGTCGCTGGTTTGCCCGCTTTATAGCAACTTTGGCGCGCGCGAGGCGTACTAGAGGCAATAAAAATCTTCATTAGTCTAATAAACGTGCGCGGCGAGGTTCAAGGTTGTAAATCTGAAATGCAAGCGAGGAAAGTTTGGGTGTGCAAACTTTTTCCTACTGTTTTTACTTACACGTTTTACGGCATTTTTCATTTATTTTTTTTTGGATTTAATGCTTTTCATATATATTTCTTATTTTTTTCTCGTTTTTTCCTTGTTTTTTGTTAATTTCGGCTACTTTTTCGTTTATATTAACATTCTTTTTTGTTGTTAGTCTTTGCTCTTAACCAACAGTTTTATTAATAATAATTTCATTTTATTGCGGTACTTAAAGCTTTACAGTTTTTTTTGTTTTTTTTTTTTTGGTATTTGCTTTGCACTTTCAATTTTCAACTTATGCTTCTTATGCTTTCTGGAGCGTAAGGGAGGCGAGCTCGAGTTGTTCGTTTCGTTTTTCGTGAAATGCGTTTAGTACGCATTACATTTTATTCGCGTTTGAAAATATTTGCTTTTGAAATTTTCTGCTTGTTTACTCGCACGCTCTTTGCTTAGCCAATTTTTGAGATTTTTTCAAATATCACGTTGCATACTTTCAGGCGCAGTAGCTGCCTTTTGAGTGCTGCTACAAGTGCTCTAGTGCCCTGGTACTGGCAGTACTGCCATCATTGTTGGCCCGTACCTAGATTGTTGTATGGCCAGTTGTTGTTGCAAAAGTTTCACAATTGCTGTTTGGGGTTGTTGATGTTGTTGTAGCTATTTTTTCGGTGTTTTTGTTCAATGCGAGTAACACCCAAGTTAGTCGCTTTCTTGATTTTTGCGTAATTTGCCGTTTAAATATTTTCCGTCTTGGTCATGCTTCTTCTTCGTCGTCTTGTGTTCGTCTCTGGCCTCGCACTGCTAATTTCAAAGGGCTTGCCTGCGCACTCCTCTCCACTCGTCATAGGTAACGTTGTACTTTCCGCTCGTGCAACATCCAAAGTGCAACATTCTTTGCTCGCTACTCTACTCTCTAGTATTTTCAACATTTAATTTCCTTCACTTTTTTGTCAGCTTCCTTTTGCTGCAGCTACAATTCATTTGATTTACTTGCTGCTGGCACATGGAAACATACATCTATGCACGTTGATAGGCATACATACTATATATGTATGTATACAGTAGGGCGATCCAAGTCAGTGTTGAACCAGCGCTTAGATTTGTGCAAGTTGTGAAAGGAAAGTTGCGCTGCTCAAACTAAATTTTGTTAAAAACTTACCGAAATGCAAAAAATAAAAAAACAACAACAAAAAATTTTTCATAAAAGAAAATTGTATTCGTATAAAATTATTCATTCTCAAAATGGCAAACAATTTCTTATTTATTTATTGTTTAAATCATTTTATTTTTAATGTGGTATTCATTACTTACATTTTACTTGTGAGAATATCATTATTATTAATTTTTATTTAAGTTTTTTTTCCCAAGATATATATCCAATATTCTGTTATTTTTGTAAATTATTCGTTAGAATTTTATCATTTTTTTATCCCAAAAAAACAAAAAAAAAAATGAAATCTTTCCAAACATTTCAATATTTAAACGATGTTGTAAAAAAATTTTTAATTAATAATTTAAAAATATTTGGTCAACTTTTCTTTTCTTTTTCTTGAGTAACAATTATATTTCGTGTTTATTTTTCCCAATATTTGATTTTGTTAATATATGTATATTATTATTTATTTTATTTTTCGTCATATTTGTATTTAATTCTATTTTTTATAACATTTCGTTTCTTTTGTTAATAATTTCTTTTTTTTATTTTGTTTTTTTTTTTTTTAATTTGTTTTTTTTTTTAATTTGTTTAATTTTTTTTATTTTATTGTATTCTTTTCATTTAATTTTTTTTTAAATTTTTTAAAATTTTTTTTTTTCATATTTATTTTGATTTATGTTTTTGCCTATTATTGCTTTTTTTTATTTAAACCTTTTTTATATTATTTTACTAATGATTTTTTTCCTTTTTGTAAATAACATCGCTGGTTTTTTAATGTGATGTAGTGTTTCTTAATTTTATTATGAAATTTTCGTTTTTAGATATTTTTCCTAACTGTTAATAATTTCGTTAGAATTTTTTTCGTATATTTAATTATTCTACTTTTCATTTATTTTTCACAATATTTTATTTGTTTAGTATGCGTTATCATTTTTTTTTATTTTCCATTTTTTTTGTTGTTGTTTTTATAACATTGTTTTACTTTTGTTGATAGTTTCGTTAGAATTTTATGTTTTTTTATTTTCATTAAATATTTTTTCATATTTTGTTATTAATATATACAGCAGAACTAATTTTGATATATTTTTTTGTGATTTTTATTTAAATATTTAATATTTGTATTTATGTTATTATTTCTTATTTAATTTCTAATTCATCTGATTTTAATTTACAATTTTTCTTAAATGAAAGTAAAAATTTTGTAAAACAATTTAGTGAGATTCAAATTAAAATTTTCATTATAATTATACCTCTAATCAATTAATTTTTCGCATTAAAAAATATAAAGAAAATTTCAAGTCGTAAGTCATTATCATAATTGTAATTAGCAAAAGTGAAAATTATGTTGTAAAAAAATATTTGTCAAGGATTTTGAAAAGAAGTTACTTAAAGCACCAAAAGAAATGTAAAATAATTTTTGTTTTCAATTTTTTTTTTAATATTTTATTTTATTTTTTTTAATTTAAATTAACTATTTTTTCTAATTTTTAATCTAATAAGTGAAATTGTCCGTTTAGTTAAAAATTTGATAAATTTGAGAAAATACAAAATTCAGATCTTAATACCATCATAATTGTGACTTGAAAAAAATGAAAAGAAGCTTTCCATTTATCTTTCAGTTATTTTTTCTTTATAATATCTTTTAAAATTTAAAATGCTTGGAAAAAATATCTCAAGAATTTTTTTTGTTTTTGTGTAACAAATGATTTTTCGTTTTATTTTAATTTTAAGAAAATAAGTATTTTTATTGAAAGTCAAAATAATTTTAATTTTGACTAAAAGTTAGGTTTAAATCAAACGCACGTTCTTAAAATAAATATCCCTCCTTGTCTTGGAGCCTCCCTAGCATGCATATATACGTACACCTATAAATTTTAGTTTGTACTCTTTCTGTCCGAAAAATTGTTCAGCTCACAAAATAATATTTTGCCAACTAATTTTTCTTGTAAATTCATTCATTCATGCACTTCTTTCCTCAAACACGCTCTCCCCACAACGCTCCAGCCTTATATTAATACATTCTCCTTTTACTTCTTTATTTTCTCAACAGGTTTTCCGTTGCGCCATCGACTCAACATTCTTGCAAGTGCTGCAAGACTGGCTCATATGCTCGCTGCCAACATTTCTAGCCTTACCTGAGCAAAAAGGTGTCTGGTGTCTGAGCGTCATCTTTTTATCCGCTTCCATAAATCTGCATTTGATTAAACTATTTCCGGTGCTGCTAAGTACCGGTGCAGCAGCAGCTGCCAGAGCGGCAGCATCCACATCAACATCATCAACTGGCGGCGGAGGTGATGGCGGCGGCGCTGCTGGTCTTCACTCGACGGCGGCATCAGTTGGTGGTGGAGGTGGTGTTGCTAGTGGTGGCCTTACAGACTTTGGCATCGCTGGAGGCGACGGCGACGTTGGAGAGTTTCATAAATTGGGTCAACATGAAATTGCTTTGTTCGTGACAGCTGCTGTAGATTTTCATGCGAAATTGAGTGTGGAGCAGCGGATGCGTTTCCGTGATGCTTTTGAGAAATTCAAGCTCAGGCATCGAGTTTATGATCAGCTGTTGCAGCAACTCTGATTTACCTAAGCGTACAACATACAAATTATCTAATGTGTGTGTGCGTGTGTGTGTGTGTGTTTGTGTGTGTATGTGTATGTATTTGTTGTTGTTGGTGTTGCCAGAGTAATGGGCGTATTAGAAGAATTATGGTTAAGCGACGACAGTCGTAAGATGATTTTTTTTGCATGTGTGTGTGTGTGTGTGTGTGTGTGTGTGTGTGTGTGCATATAAATTCTGCTACACTCTGCAACTCTTTATCAACATTTACTGTTATTTGTTGTCGTTGTCGTTGTTGTTGTTGTTGTTGTTGCTGGCAACCTTTCGTAGATGACTCAACCTAATAGCATACGCACAAACATACACACGTGTATATAGATAAGCATTGTAATGACGCTTTGAGTTGAAAGGTGCGGTACAACAACAAGAATACCTTGGTTTTTGACTTTTATGCAACATTTATTAGCTGCTCAACTGATTTATGCCGCAAGTAAAAGATTTATATTTTGTTTTTTTTTTTTTTGTTTTTTGTTTGTCGGCCTGATATGAAATGTGTTTAGATTGAAAAAAAAAATAATAATAATAATACCGTCGTCTAAGTTTAGAGTAAGGAATTTATAAATCAGCTAAATAAAAAAAAAATTAATTATAATAGATTTTTATCTAATGTAGTTGTTTTTTCTTTTTTAATTTGCAAAAATTTTTTGTAAAAATTTGTTACGAAAGCACTTTGAAATATATAAAAAAAAGACGGGGTTTAAATAACATAAGAAACTTCTTTGATCTACTATCTAAGTGTAATTTTTGAACTAGAGAAACATTTTGGTAAAATATTTGCTTCATTACTTTTTATTAGCTCTTGAGAAAACCTGCGATGAAACTAAGATTTAAATGAAAAAAAAATGTTATAAAACAAAATGATGAACCGTTGGATGAATTGAATGAAAATTAATTACAAAAAGAGTTGAAAAATATTTCTCAACACTTTTTCGCAGAGTTCGTTATTATTATGATTTTTATATTATATAAAATTCAATCAATTTTCGATCATTAAAAAATAATTGATTTTTTAGAGTGTCGCTTCACATTTATTTAAAATTAATTAAAATTATTTGCATGATTTTTGGTGTTAAATAACCATTCATAAAAGTTATAGTAAAATTATTTTTCCCATTACTTGAGCTTCCTACGAAAATATTCCAGTATATGCATCTAAATTTGATTAGTTAAGAAGAAAAATATATTTCTATCTATCATTTATTGAAAAGGCGCTCTGATGTTTTGAGCGATTGGTTGTGNAATTATATATTGAAAAGCCGATATTTAGATACAAATTTAGTTAATTTTTTTTTTATATTTTTCTAAAAAGAATTTTCATTTCTATTTTCCATAATGCACATTTTCATTAGATAAATTACCGCACAGGTGTTACATATATGTACACGTATGTTCTCTCAACAATTCAATCTTACGCACATCCAGTCATAAAACTGACTCAATTCGGACTCACTTCGGTGTGCTGGGTGTTTTTGAATAATTTTTTTAAATTTGAAACTGCAATGAATATTTTGGGGGAAAAAATTTAGAATGTTATTAATGTTTTTTATTTTCATTCAAACATTTTTTTATTTTTTATTTTTTGATTAATATATACAACAGAATTTAAAATTTGTGATTTGATAACAGAAAAGTCGCGTTAAAATGTGCGCTTGGAATTAAATATAAAAAAATGTTATACTTTAATTTGAGAAGTAAAAAATTCGGCTCACATGAAGAAAAAAGAATTAAAAATTAAATTTAAAATGTCTCTGCCAAGGCGAGTAGGAGATATTACCCATCATACTGATTCTTCTTCCTTGTGATCTCAAAAAAAAAAAAAAAAAAAAAAAAAAGCTGAAGCTGAAGCTGATCAGTGAATCGTAGAGAAATGATTATGATTATGAAAAGCTATTTTGGTAGCTCGTTTGTTAATAACGGTTCTTCAGTGAGTTTTCGAAAAAAAAATTGTTTGTTTTAAAAAATTATAAAATTACATTAGTCAACAGGATTTAAATTTTTGTCACATTTTTGGCCTTAATACATACAAATATGTATATTCTTCCAATGCTTTAAAGCCGCCAAAAAAAACACACACACACACATTTTACTGCCTAATTTACAATATGAAAATTACTTACGATTTTTGTGAAAATTCGGCTTTTGTTTGGTCCCTTCTCAGTCTCCAAAACAAAAACCGGCTAGTGTTCCTGGGTGTCATTTTCTTCGATAACGCTTTTCTATAAAGGGTATGACCTCTCACCTTATTTGCCAGAAGGAATTCCAAATGAGAGTCCAGCCTTATCTAGGTGTCATAATTTTCCGAATCACAGTTTCCAAGAAACAAAATATTTCCAAACTAATTGTTTCTGGTCATTCTTTGAGAGATCTTACGCTTTGTCATTTGTGGATCTACAAATATTTCCTCTATTATTTTTGCCACACTCAAGTTCGGGAATTTCTTTTAAAAAGTTCTCTACCATTTTTAGACATAACTTTTACATATTCCTCACTAGAATGCAGCCTTTATGAAACCTTGGAGGTTTTGGCAAAGGCAAATGACTTTATGAATCTTTTGGCCGCAAATGAGCCCGGATATTGGCGAATTTGCTTAGCCCAATCTAACAGAAGTCTCACACAGCATAGTAGGCGATATCTCTTGATTCGCTAAACTATGCCAATTGCGCTGTATATCTTGTAAAGCTCATCGTATCAGCTGCTGTGGTTCTCACTGTTGGCAACTCGCACAGAATCTTTCTCTCGAAAACTCCTAACGCCGATTGATCAGATGTTGCCATCGTCCATGCTTCCGCACCGTACAGCAGAACGGGAATTAAGAGTGACTTGTAAACTTTGGTTTTTCGTTCGCTAATAGAGGTCATTCTTTTCATTTCCCTAATTTGTCCAGAGTAGGATTCGATGCAGAGATTGTTAATGGTTCTAAGGCTCCTGTTGTCACTATAGAGATATTGTGTGTCGATCCTCTTTTAAATGGTCTTTTCCAAAATTTTGCGCATGGTGAAGATCTGGTCCGTGTTTGAGTTACCAGGTCTGAAGCCACACTGATAAGGTCCCCTCTGTTTGTTGACGGTGGGCTTCAGTCTCTTTCCCAAAACGCTCGTTAGAACCTTATAGGTGATATTACAAAGTTTGAGATGTTGAGCCCTTAGCAGCCAAATTTTGATTATAAAATTAACTGGTGAATTTTTGAACTAGTAGGGGACTAGTATATGCATATCTGATGGGGTGGCATGAATAAAGCTTACCCTTATCCCACGATGATAGGCGCAGACTGTGGGAACCCTTTTCCTTATCATTCCAATCATCGGGCACTCTTTCGTCCGACCATATTTTTTAGAATAAATTAAATACTTTTTAAATAGTTTAATATTCTATATTTTTAAACAACAACAAAAACGTTTTTTCTTTAATTTTTAAGCGAGTTTTTTTTTACTGGTTGCTTGCTACCGCTATTTTTTTATTGCTTTTCTTCCCTCAGTCTACACAAACACTCTGACACTAGAAAACTTGTGTATGTATGTATGTATGTATGTATGTATGTATGTATGTACTTTGTTATCTTAGATTTCGCTCTGTTTTACTTTAAAATATTATTTAAGTTTCGTTTAATTGCGAACGTTGTCATTCGTCGTGGTGCAAAAAAAAAAACAAAAACCAAAAAAAAGTTAAGAGTTTAAACAATTCAGAAAAATTACCAACAACAACAACAAAGCTACGCTCTTATCCACCATACGCGCGCACGTCGTCAAGCGTCAGGCGTCAGCTGTGTCAGCGCAACCACGTACGTCCATACATATATACAGATTTTCTAAAGAAACACACACACACACACACACACACACACCTGTGTATGAACAACCATTAACGTTTTCTACTACTTCAATGCTGGCAATTTTTTCGCTCCAATTGTTGTTGTTACAATTTGAAAAGCAAAAGTTGCTGCATACAATTTGCTCCACAACTCGCCACCGTCCCACTGTCCCACCACCAAGCGCGACAATCTTGTTGCCAGCTGCAAGAAAATTATTATCTAAGATAAAGACCAGCGTGAATAACTAATTGCCAAGATTGAGTCTGGACTGGACGTTGTCAGCTGAGCCTTTAGTTACATATGTACGTACATATGTGTGTATGTACGAGTGTGTTTATAGAAGAGGGCAGCAAGTTTTGATGAGACTATACGCCATGGGCCTGCAGCTTGCAAAATTCGCTCATCAGTAAAGTCAAAAGTTGCAGACATACATACATACATACGTACCGACAAACTTATAAGAGCTCAACAGCCACAGCTGGAGCTATAAGTCTACCTTCACCATCACGCTGCCCCGGCCACCAGCCAGCAGCAGTGGCTTCAGCAGTCATCATTCCACAACCAAGAGCCGCCAAGCAGCAACTGTCAGCAGGTTCGCAGCGCTCAAATGTCGCCAAGTCGAGACAACTGAACGGCTGTCTTGACTGGCTACTATAAATGAATGAATGAGGTATGAATGCTTGGACACTGGGATGATGGCTGAATAGAGCAAGCTCGGACGACTGCATTTTACGCTGTTGCATACGCTGAGCACCGAACACACTCGCATCTGCCCTCCCCCACACAAACATCTCAGCGCGCCGCACGGAACGTCTGTCAATTTGAATGATAAAAGTTTTTAATATTTCCCGTTTTTGTTTCCCTTTCTTTAGTTAAGAATTAAAATTAATTTCTGTTATGCGAATGTATTTATGTATTTATGTATGTACGCTTATGTAGTATGCATGTATTCAGCGTCAAAGTATCTACGTAACTAATATTAAAATTTTGAATTGTAAAGAAAGTAGTATCTCAGGCAGGGCAAGTGGCGAGCGGCGGGCGGCGAGCAGCGAGAGAGAGAGAGAGAGAGAGTATAGAAAATGAAATGATTAGTAACGCTCTAGAGCTGCATTGAATCGGCTGAGGGCGAGGGTAGGGTAGGGGAGGGGAGGGGATGAAGGCAACACCAAATGAAGACCGCCGCTGGCAACACTTGAGTGAAATCAAAAAACTTTCGCAAAATTCGCTTGTTTGCCTAATAGGTAACTGTAAGTAAATAAATAAGTGAGTAAGTAAAGTAGAAAAGTGGTGAATTGGGCGGAAGAGGGCTCTGCTCTGTGTGTGACCTCAGTTGTGGGTGGAAAGTTGATTTAGTTTTTGCGGTTTGTCAAAGTACAGTTAGTGTGAATGGGGTTTTGTTTACCGAAAGATAACAAATTGGAATTGAATGAGCTTTAGAAATATTTTTTAGAAAGCAAGCCAGCAAGCAGCACTCAAGTGAAAGGGGTACAGGTAGAAGAAGAAGAAGAGAAGAAGAAGAACACAATGAAAGATAAAAGAAGTAAAAAGTAAATGTTAAAGGAAATACATCCATACATATATATGTATGTATACTCTTAGGTGCAGTAAATAGAAATCCATTTCTGCATGAAATCGAAGGCTTTGATTTTTTGCATTTGGTATCCAATCTTATGCAAATGTTTCTAAAGGGTTTTTTGTGCAATCTACAGCTCTTGGGTAATCGAAACAGCGCTACCTGACGGTCGGACTGTACAATTTCCATGATTCTAACGACATTTTCGACAAGCAACCGGAAGCATCTTTTACAACAA